TAGTGTTGGGGCAAGACCCTTGAGATCCCTGACTTTCCTTCTAGTGAGGCAGTAGGTAGGAGAGGGGGACGTGTTCTCCAGCCAGACCCTCCTCTTCCCGCGGCCGATTCACCCCCCTGGGACCGTCCACTCCTCCCCTGGGGTCATTTACTTGGGACCCTCTGCCCACCAGCCCCCCAAAGGCCGAGGGGCTCAGCCCTGGGCCTGCCTCTCGCAGGGGGTCAGCACGTGAGGACAAGTGTAGGACGGCCGTGCCCGTGCCCGTGCCACGCTTCCACATATGCAATGTGTCAGATTAACCAAGTGCTGTTTTGTTGCTTTGCGCTACTGTGACCTTGGCGGAGTCTGGGGTGTTTTACCCAAGAATGGCCACGAGAGGGCTCCGAGAGCGAGCCTTCCTGGCCCTGCGCTGTGCCCTTAACGCCACCACCCCAGGGACACCCAGACCCTGACGCTGCCCTCCCCTCCATCCCCGCTTTGGAGGGTGAATGTGTGGGTGAGGGGGCTGGGCAGGGGACAGTTTCAATCTCAGAGATGGTTGCTCTTCAGTCTTCAGTTAGTCCAGTCCGTCCTTCTACTGGATTGGCGGGGACGAGGAGGCTCAGCGAGGGGCGGGGCTCCCAAGGACTCAAAGCAAAGGCTGGGCGTGGCCAGGACGAGCTCTTGCCTCCAGATCTGCCCGTTTCCTGTGGAAAGGTCCCTGGGGGGCGGGGCTGAGGGGAGGGGTGGGGGAGGGGGGAGGAGAAACAGAATGGAAGGCTGGAGGCAAAGATGGGACTCAAGGCTGTCTCTGCAGGCTCAGATATGGGCCTCCAGGCCCAGCTGTAAAGAGACTTCCTGTCCCCAGTTTTCTGCTCCTGGTCAGAGCTTCACTCCACAAGGGCCTTGGGCCCTATTAGGAGCAACCCCAGGAGCTGTGACAACCATCAGCTAACACCTTGGATGACATCCAACACCTTAGGTGACAGCAGCACCCTCATTAACAAGTACCGAGAGCAATTCTGCCCACGTGGAAAGGAGGGGGGTGGCCTTGTGGGGGGAGGGGGTGGAAGGGGGAGCATGCAGCACACACTTTCTGGTCACCTGTGTGTCTGGGTGTTGAGAGCCACAGTGGCCACTGCAGCGTTGTGACCATAAGGTTCAGGGGCTTTCTGGTTCAGGGGCTTCCGAGTGGACAAGTGTATGTATATGAGCGGAGGTCTCCTGAGAAGTTAGCTGCCTGGGGACTTGCCTGCCTAAAACCTCCCGGCGGCTCCCTGTGTCCTCAGGCCCCCACCCTCAGGGACCCTCCTCAGTCAGGTAGTCCTAGCCATGCATGATCTCTGCCAGCCTGTTTTTCCAGTCTCACCTCTCTCTTTAAAAAAAGATTGATTTCAGAGAGGAAGAGAGAGAAACATCAATGATGAGAGAATCATGGATCAGCTGCCTCCTGCACGCCCCCTACTGGGCATCAAGCCTGCAACCTAAGCATGTGCCCTGACCAGGAATAGAACCGTGACCTCCTGGTACATAGGTGGATGCTCAACCCTGAGCCACGCCGGCCTGGCACGGTCTCACCTACCTTTACACTCACATCGTCAGGTCTCCCACGCCACAGACAGTGCCCAGAGCCGGCCTCGCTTGATTCTGCTGTGACGCCGCCACTCCAGGTCCTCGTGATGAGCTGGTGCAAAGAGCTCCAGCCATGCCATGGCCAGAAGATAGAGGCACCCGGACTTTGACACAATGTCTGTACATGTTTACACGGATGCGTCTCTATGCCATCTGTCCCCTCTGTGGACCATTACACCCTGAATTCATCAGACCATGAATATGGATGGGATCTTCTCCCTCTTGATGATCCCAGAACCCAGCACTAGAACTAGTGATAAATGTTTAATATTATATTGATCAGTAAGTACAGGTTTAGTTTATGAATGAATGGGCAAAAGAATGGTAAGAAGAGGGATGGATGGATGGGGATGGATGAGTGAGTGATGAAGATGGGTGGTGGAGAGATGGAGGTGAGAACGGCTCACTGATGTGTATGTGTATGGATAGCATACGAACAAAATACAAGGATAATAGAAGAACGCATGTCAGGTTGATGGACAGGTGACTACTAGGTAGGTGGGTGGTTGGTGGGGATGAAGGACTGGAAGGGGAGGTGAGTAAGCGGATGGATGATGCAGTGGTAGAATGGGGGGTGAATAGATGTATAGATAATGGTTGTATAGGTGCGGGGAGCATGATAGATGGAGGTGCTAGATTGTGGGTGGATGGAAGTTGGTGGGCGGTGGGCAGCTCTGTAATGGTAGTTGGCTAAGATTGTAAATTGGATGGAGGGTAAGGGGCTATGGACACAACATTTGATGACTTGATGGATACTGAAAGAACCTATAGTGGATTAATTGCAGGTAACAGGTGGTGGCTGGTGGCTGAACCATAGAAGTATGGATGGATGGTGGATAAATAGGCAGTGGATGATGGTGATGGATCTATCCATAGAGAATGGATAAATAGATGAGATATAAATGTGAATGTATATACAATTGATGGGTGGATAATGAATGGTGGACAAGTATCTGGTGGCTGGATAGTGCATGAATGGGGGAATAGATGGCAAATAAATGGATGGTTCCTAGGTGGATGGGTAATGGAATGTGTACTGTGGAAGTGGAGATGGAAGGTGAACAGTGAATAGATAATGGATTCTGGATGAATAGATGATCATTAGGTGATTAATGGATGATGGTTGATACATGGCAATATCTTGGAAAAGGGATTCATGAAAGGCGGGGGGTGGAGATGGTGGAGGGATGGATGGATAGTAAGTGGTGAGTGGTATATGGCAAATAGATGGCTTAGTATTTAAATGGAGGAAATAGATGGCAAGTGGATGGTGAATGGATAATGAATGAAGATGGATATTGAATGAATAGTGAATAATGGATGGAGGATAATGCACAAATAATGAATAGATGGATGTGTACTCTATCCTGAGAACCTAGAATAATGCTTGGCACATAGAAGGCACTCCATAAATCTTCTAGAATAAATGAATATGGATGGGTGGTAGATGACACTTGAATGGGCTTTGGATGAATAGTGAATTATAGCTGGGTGGCGGATGGATAGACAGAAGATACTGTGAGATGGACGATGAATGGATAGATAGGAATAAGAGATGGTTGGGTGGTAGGTGGTTGGTAGGGAGGTAGTTGGTGGATTGTAGTTCATAGAAATATGAATGGATGAGGGATTACGAATGACTGGTGGTGAGTGAATGTAGATGGATGAATTGTGGCTGATTGAATGGATGGAGGCTCGTGGATGGGTGGTGGGTAAATCCAGATAAATGAGGAGCCGAGAGATGGTAGATTAACGTTGGCAGCCAGATATGTGGTGGATGTATAAATGAATGGTAGGTGGGTAGATAGGTGTTAAATATTGATGGAAAGTTGTTATATAGTGAACGATGGGTGGATAGGTGGTGGATGGATGGATGGATGGATGGTGAGTGAATGAATGCTGGATGATGGGTATTTTCATAGTGTACTAATGCCTGGTAAGTGGTGGGTGGTAATGGATGGGTGCATGATGGGTGGCTGGTGGTTGGAGAGTGGCTGGTGACTGGATTGGGTAGTTAATGGATGGTGGATGGTGGATGATGGCTGGTGCCTGGTGGGTGGTGGGTGAATGTTGGATGGTAGATGACAGTAGTTGGATGAGTGGATGCTGAAAGAGGGTTGTGGGTGCTGAATGGAAGTTGGATGGTTGCTGGGAGGTGGGAGGGTGGGGAACTGGGCAGATGGAGGTGGTGCACTGTGCTCTCAGGTGTCAGGTCTGTACATCCAGCTGAGTGGGACCCATGTCCCAGGGCTGTTTGCTGCTTTTGGGGAATGGGGTGGAGACGAAGACAAGAGGGGTGTGTGGCTAAGCCTGTACACACACACACACACACACACACACACACACACACACACTCACACACACACCTTGGCCCTCCACTTCCGCGTCCGCTCCCCCGCGTCCTCTCCACTCCTTGCGTTTGGAAGGCGCCCTTTTTCTACGCATCTGGCCCCACCCAAGTCTGTGCCCTGAGCCTCAGGCTGGACGCTTGGGATCTCAAGCGATGGGGATCAGGTTCTGGGGGATGCGGTCCTGTCAAAGGGAGGATAACGCCAGACGCCGTCCTACCTGGGAGCGGAGCCCAAGGACAGAAACAGGGGCGCGAGCGTGAATGAGGGGCCGGGCCAGCGAGCGCGTGGGCGGGGAGCACGTGGGGGGGGGGGGGGCGGGGAGGGACGGGGCGCGGGGGAGGGCGAGCCGCGCGGGGCAGGCAGCGCCAAGCAGAGCCGCCCAGCAGAGCGCATCAGCGCGCGGTGAGTGTGCGCGGAGCAGGGCGCCCTCCGGCCCAGGCCCGGCCCAGGCCCCGGTGCGCCCTGGCGGCGCGAGCGGGAGAAGGGGAAGCGGGTGGACGGGGGTTTGAGTCGGAGCTCCCGGGAGAGAGGAGGGCGTGGGGACCGCCGTGAGCTCGTGGCTGCCGGACGCCAGGCTTCGGGCGAGAGCAGTGCCCCGGGGGCTGTGCACCCCGCACCCCGTAACTGGCCTGACACACCTGGCAGCCGGCAGAAGTGGGGGTGCTGGGAGCCTTCCATGCTCCGTGCCCGCCGGCACTGGACCCTGGCGCGGGGCGCGGGGGGAGCCCTTGGGCACTGGCCCTCCGCTGCCTGCCCCGGGCTGGGCCCACGGTGCAGCTCTCACCTGGGTCTCCATCCTCCTGCACCGGGTTGCCTTTCTGGGTCTGTTTCCGTCTCTCTCTGGGTCTCTTTCCCCGCGGGCCCATCTCTGCTCGTCTGGGGCGCTTCCCTGCCTCTCACGCCTGTCCCTCCCGGGCCTGGGCCCCAGCCGGCGCTGGGTTCCTGGGATGAGACCCCTGCGCGGGGCTCCCTTGGAAGGTCAGACCTGGGAGCAGGGCGGGGGTGGGGGTGGGGGTGGGGCTCTCACCTGCTCTGGGATGAGAGGAGGCAGGTGGGTGTGGCTGGCTCCCACCAAGCGAGGACGCCTCCCAGCAGCTCACTGGGGCCTGAGAGCGGACCTGAGCTGGGTGTTCGCTGAAAGAAACCTCGTTTCCCACCCGCCTCTTTCGCTGGGTGCCAACAGGACCCCTCCCCACAACCAGCTGGGCCTCCCGAACACGGCACCCTGCTGATCACCGCTCACCCTATGCCCAGTCCCCCGCTCCTGCCCTTGCCTGTGTCCCTGGCTGCCTCCCAAGCAGTGCTAAAGGGAGCCGTCTGCCTGCCAGACCCACCCCAGCTCTTTTTTTCCTTGTTTTTTAAATTCTCACCGAGGATATTTTTTCCCCCATTGATTTTTTAGAGAGTGGAAGGGGGGAGGGGAGAGGAGAGAAAGAGAGAAACTTCAATGTGAGAGAGACACATTGACTGCAGACTCCCGACCCAGGTACGTGCCCTTGACCAGGAATGGAACCCATGACGCTTGGGTGCGTGGGCCGGTGCGCTAACCACTGAGCAGCTGGCCAGGGCCCACCCCATTTCTCCCTCTGGCTTAGTGCAGGTGGAGAGTCGAGGCTGGTGCGCCTTTGCCTCTGGCTGACTTGAACCTGGCCCTACTGCTCCCAGACTCCAGTCTCAGAAGCCAATTAGGGTCCCCCTCCCCACTTCCGCTCTCCTTTCCCCCCTCCCCTCCCCGCTGTTTCCTGACTCAGAACTCTCCTTCCTGCTGGCCTGCTCCCTCTCGCCCAGCCCCCGCCTCAGGTCAGCTGACCCTCTTCCAGGAAGCCTTCTCGGGTCTTAGGGCTGCATCAGCCTCAGCCCTCCTGCCACCCTCGGAGCCCCGGGCACTGCGTGGTGCTGCCCAGCGCCCTCCGCTGGTGGCTGGGGCAGGGACAGAGGTCCAGCTGCTGGGCCTGGCTGGGGTGCGAGGCTTCCCGGGGAGGGGGACCCAGCCTCTGGCCACAGCAGGCCTCTGTCTTCACGTCTGTCTGCTCGCTGTCCTCTCAGCCCCACAGCAGCTGCAGCATGAGTGGCCCCCCGCCCAGCGTGCCCGAGCCCAGCCCAGCAGAAGGAGCTGGAGGCCGAGCTGGAAAGGTATGGACCTGGGGCCCGGGGTGCCAGTCCTCAGCCTTGAGGGGACAGGAGGGATGCCCATGGCTTGGGGCCTGCCTCAGTTTACCCACCTGCAAGGGGGTGGGGAGTCTGATGGAGAAAGCGATGGGAGGCTGAGCTGCGCTGGCTTAGTTCACACCCTCGGGCCCCAGGGCTTGATGTTCAGGGCAGTTCTCTGCCAGGCGAGGCCGTGCCAGGGCCCTGCTCTCAGCTCTGGGCTTGGGGAGGAGGTGTGGCTGCTCCCTGCACAGGAGCACCGTTAGGGCCCTGTGCTCTCCTTGCTGGCGCTGTGCTGTTGCAGACCCAGCTCCCTCCCTGGCCGGGCGGACAGAGAGGGGGACCCCAGGCCTGGAGCTCCGTGCTCTCTGCCTGGGTCTCCTTCACCTGAGGGCAGAGTGACACCCTGTCCCCTCCTCCTCCCGGAGGAGGCAGGCGGGGAACGCGGGCGGAGGGACTACAGCTGCAGCGCCAGCAGGAAGACCCAGGGCGGCCCAGCCCGGCATTGGGGTTGGCTGCGTCCCTGCTCTGCTACTCCAGGCTCCTTGGACCCACAGACCGCCCAGCCCAGGGACACCTGTTCTCACGCTTCAGGGTCCCCTGGGGCTTGGTGCAAACCAGGAGAGTCTGGGCAGGAGCATGGGGGACAGGGGTGGGCATTTGAGCACAGGGCAGGTGGTGCCAGGCTGTTTGGAAAAGCTCTGCCTGTGTGCGCCCGCCCTTCCTCATGGCGCTCATGTGGTTGGGGAAGGTGGACCGAGCACCACCTGCTACCCCACTGGGTGGGGGGGGCCTCCAGGAAGGACCACCCTGAGCAGGGGCATGGAGGGGGCCCGCAGGCTAGCTGGGCTGCTGGGGGCAGGGAGGGGGGGGTCTGGCAGGGCAGAGCAGGTGCGCAGTGGACTGGCAGCCAGAGCCTCTACCTCCAAGGCCTTGAATGGGAGGCGGAGATGCCAGGGCACGGAGGGCGTGGGAGGCGCCCGAACACTCTGGTGGGCACTGAACAATGAGCCTGGAGTGAGCTGCTCAGGTCGCCATGACAACCGCTCCCCAGCTCCTCGGAGCAGGGAGGAGGCCAAGGACCAGCAGGGAAGACCCCAGAAGGGGCGGTACAGGGTAGGTGGCGGGTGGGAGTGCAGTCACCAGGTGATGGGGCCTCGCCAGCCTCGGGCTCCTGCCTGTGGAATGGGCCCCAGGGAGAGCTGCGACCCACAGTGCCAAGTGCCCCAGCCCCAGGGGTGGGTGGAGGAGGGGCTGGGACCCTCTCAAAGATGTGTGTGCGAGGGTCCAGCACAGGAGTGGGAGGGAGTGGGGAGCCCAGGGCCCGCACTGCGCTGACCCCTGCCCGCCTCCCGCAGGCCGTGGTGGGTGCCTGGGAGAAGGGCCCTCGGCTGGGCCCGCGGCTGCCCTCCATCGTGGTGGAGCCCACCGAGGCGGGTGCTGTGGAGAGTGGGGAGTTGCGGTGGCCCCCCGAGGGCGAGCAGAGGGGTTCCCCGCAGAGCCAGGCTGCTGCCGGTGAGTGAGGGCTGCCTGTGCCCCAAAGGGAGTCAGAGCAGGTGTCCTCCCCACCCGCCCCGCAGGCAGGCCCCCACCCTCCACCTGCTCGCCTGCCCAGCAGCCCCCCGTAAGCCTCTGCCTGGTGCCTAGGCACTGCCTGGCCTTGCATGCCTCCCCCGCCCCCGCCTGCGCAGAGTCCCTCCATCCACTGTGGGGGCCCGGTCGGCACAGGGTGGTGAGCAGGGTGCTGAGCAGCGAGCACTTGCTGAATGAATGGCCGCAGGGTCTCCCCCCTCAGCATCCAGGCCCACCTCCTCCCTCCCCTTCCTCCCTCTTGCGCTGTCCACTAGGGCTTGGAAGGGGTGAGGGTACGGGTGCCGGGTGCCGAGCAGGCCCAGCCCAGGTGCCCACCAGGTGGGGCGATGGGCCAGCCCATGGCAGGCCCTGTCCTGCCCACAGGTGCCTGGTTAAAGGCTGAGGGGCCAAGGCTGGGGAGCAGTGAGGGGAGCAGGGTCAGCCAGAAGCCAGCTGAGGCTCAGGAGAGCGGGGCGGGGGGGGGGGGGGTGGTGGTGCTGGGTGGTGGGGCCTCTGTGGAGGGCATGTGCTAGCGGGAGGTGGGGGGGTGGGGGGGGAGGGGGCGGTCTGTTGCCTGGTTTGGAGATGAACTTGGCCTCAGCTGGGGCTGCTTAGCGCCCTGCCTGCCCTCTCCCCTTCCTCGCGTGTCACCCTCCCCACACACCCACACAGCAGCCCCCTGAAGCTTGGGCCTGTCCACGCCAGAACCCACCATCCCTCCAACACCGTCCCACCCTCTGTCAGGTTCCACTCAGAAGAGCACCAGGACACCCCCTTCTGTGGGTGGGACTTGGGTTCTGGGGCATCCCCAGGTCTGCCCTGGACTCATCTGTCACTCCTTTTTCTGTGGGGGGGGGGGGTGGGAATCAGGGCAGGGGGTGCTTCTGCTCCTAGAGCTTGACCTCGACCTTCCTCCCTGCCCAGGGATGCGCATTGGCACCCCTCCTTCCCGCGGGGGGAACTTGCGGCCAGCCCCTCCAGGTGCAGTCCCCCCTCCTCCCACATTCTTTTTGCAAGCCTGCCAGGAGCGTGGCCCCACCAACAGGGGCCTTCTTGTCTCGCAGCCCCCGCGCCCAGCCTGCCAGGAGCACCCAGGGACGTACCAGGCCACCCCGGCAGCGAGTGTGCCAGCTCCGAGGCCCAGGCCCCGCGGCCCAGGGATAGGACAAGACCAGGGCCAGATTCTGCTGTCCCTGCCAACGCCGCCACTGCTCCCTGACCACTGGGAGGGTCCCACTGCTCCCTGACCACTGGGAGGACCCCACTGCTCCCTGACCGTTGGGAGGGTCCCACTGCTCTCTGACCGCTGGGAGGACCCCACTGCTCCCTGACCGCTGGGAGGGTCCCACTGCTCCCTGACCGCTGGGAGGGCCCCAGCCCCGGGAATAAAGCTGGGCCGCGCCTCCACTCACCTCCTCTGGCCAGACCCCTAGCCCCGCCCTCTTCCGCCCAGGGTCAGGGTCGGGATCATCCCCTCCCTATTCTGTGGTTTGAAGCAGAAATAAAGGCATTTCCTGGGAGTGGCACCCTCGGTGGGGACTCGAGGGACCGAGGACAATCTGGGTTCTGCTGCTGGCCTCTCGGGTCAGGGTTTCGGCTCTGAGCCCTGGCTGGCCAGGCCAGGTGCTGGGAGAGACCACGTGGGTGTCTGTGTGGGGCAAAGGCCGGGGCGGGGGGTGGGGCTCCCCAGGGGCTGTGGCGTGGGCTCCTCGGGCCTCTGCCCAGGGCTGTCTGCTCTGCCCCAGCCCAGGCGGCAGGCAGGACCGGCTCCCTCACTCACCGGCCACCCTCCTTGGGGCCTGCAGCCCTGGCGGGGCCCTGAGGGCAGGAGTCAGTGCTCGCGTCCCTCCTCCCTGGGCACCAGGGCAAGAATGGTCCGGGGGTGGGCGCCCTCTCCCAGGCTGGATCTCCCGAAATCCTACAAAGTCCCATTTTACAGTGAAGGTAACTGAGGTGTGAAGGGAAGTGTCGAAGGCTATAATGGGGTCCCTGAGGCTGGGAAGCCGCCAGCTAGACACAGAGCCCACCTGGGAGATGAGGTGGCACCTCTTCCTGTGCCACGTGACGTGAGGGTCCCGTCTGTCCATGGGCTCCAGCCTCACTGTCGCTTGGCTCTGTCCCACTGCACCAGGACAGGGGTCAGCTTGGCTGGGGGGCAGAAACCTGATCGCTGCCCGGCCACTCCCCAGGTGTGCCACCCGCCTCACCTGGCCCCTGCCCTCAGCAAGCCTGACCACGAGGCCGAGGAGCCTCAGGGCTAGCAGGGGCAGCGCGGCATAAATGTCAGCCCACAGAACACACAGGTGCAGGCGGTGGGACAGGCCGGTGAGTGTGCTCCTGGGGAGGCAGGAGACAGGCCCTTCTGTTCTGGGGCCCTTCCCCTGCCCCTTCCTTCTAAAAATAGCTCACCCCGCCCCCACCCCTACCCCCACAAGCAGGAGAGGTGGGAGGCGGAAGTGCCAGTTTGCCTGCGGTCTGGGGTCTGCTTTAAGTGTAGCCTTGGGACGCCTGTGCCCCACACACAGGCCCTGGCCTGCAGCCTGGGAGAGGGGTGGGGCTGTCCTTCAAGCCCCTGGGGTCTGGTCCCCAAGCGGGTGGGAAAGGGGTAGACATTCCCCAGGAAGTGCTGCTGGACTTGCTGACACTGGGAATATAGGGCAAGGCACGGAGGGAGCGGGGTGGTTTCCAGGTTCCCCATGTGGCACGGGGGTGGGCAATGGTGCCACATGCAGAGATTTCATCCTCACCCTCCCAGCTCATTTAGACCTGACTTTCCCGCGGTCCCACCGCGACGGAGAGCTGAGCTCGCAATCCCAGGTGCGCCCGAGACCCAAGCGGGCCGGTGCCCACCACGCCACTCTGGAGCTCCCCATGCCCGGCGAGCTGGGAGGAGGGGGTGCAGACCCAGGGAGGCAGCCCAGTGGGGGTGGGCAGAGCATCTCTACCCCGTCTTCTGCTCCCCGGAACAGCTCAGGAGCCCGCAGCCACCGCACCGGCGCCTTTAGCCCAGCAGGGCCCCCGCCCACCACCACCACCTCCCGCTTCTCGGGTAAAGGTCGGGGGCGGTGCCCGCGAGGACGCCCCGCCCATGGGTAAGCCCCGCCCCGCCCCGTCACTGCCCCCTGGGCTCCCGGATGGGCCTCCTCGTGTTTGCGGTATCCACCTTGGGGAGAGGGAAGCTCCCCAAGGTCCGCAGACGGTTAGAGGCGAGGATGGAGCCCAGGCCTCCTGCTCTCCGCCCCGAGCCGGCGGCAGGGCGGGTGGGATCTGCCGCGTGGCGTCTGCATTGCGGGGAGAGCCTGGCTTCCCAGGAACACGAGGTCAGACAGGCACTGGTGCTGCAGGTCCGGGTCCTGCCCTTCCCCTCTGGGACCAGGCCCTCCACGGAGGCGAACCCATTAGACCCACAGCAGCCCTGCTTTATGGCGGAGTACAGGGCTCAGAGTCAGAAGGGCCTCTCCCAAGGGCTCAGCCCAGCGTCTGGACCGCGACCTCTGCCTGCCATCCCCGACCAGCCCTGGCCGGAGGCTCCCCTGAGACGGGTGGCTTTGCCAGAGGATTCCACTCAGAATGCTGGGGAAGCAACGTGGAAATGGGATAGAAGGCGCATTACAGCCTCTGGCTGAAGGCCGGCCTCGGGCTGGGCAGATGTGGGTGCAGCTGGGACTTGGGGAGAAGTGCAGGCGCCATCGCAGGCCCTGGGCACCACCAGCTTTGCAGGGACCTGTCTGTTGGGTGGAGGTCCCAGGACATGCCCTGTGAGCGAGGGAGCAGGCGGGTCAGACTGAGGTCCCCCAGCGTCTGTCCCCAGGGGAGGCCCCGTTTTCCCAGGCGGACACCTAGGCTGGAGGCCTGGTCTCGCCAGCTGTGTGGCCGTGAGCAGGTCCCTGTGCTTCTCTGAGTCAGTGTCCCAGTGCAGCATGGGAAGCGGTCACCTGCCCACAGGGCATCCAGCAGGACAGACTTGCCCCAGGACCCCACTGAGCAGCCCCGGGAGGTCACCTCGAGTCTCTGGGATTGTGCTTGCCCCTCCCATCTGTCCGTCTCTGACTGAGAGATGCAGGGAATGGGAGGCCAGCTGGGTGCCCCAGGGGCTTGAGCTGGGACTCTTAGGACCCCACTTCACAGAGGGGAACCCAGGGCTCAGGGGGCTAACGGCTCCATGGTAAACAGAGGGCTTCCCGGGGAAGGTGCTGGCAACTTGCCCCCGACTGGGCCCTCCTGCCGATGGCAGAGGCTCTCCGGCAGCCCAGGTGCCTTCCAATCTGCTATGGCTGGATTTCGCTCTCATAACAGTCTTCTGCTGAGACCCTAGGTCTCCGTCACTCAGGAGGCGCCTGCACTTAGAGAGGGTCTCTAGGCATGCTTCCGTTACAATGAGGCCAGCAGGGGTCCGAACCCAACAGGACCGGTGTCCTTATCAGAAGAGGAGACACAGACACGTACAGAAGGGAGGACACGCGAGGACACAGGAAGAAGACGGCCACCTTCAAGCCGAGGGGAGAGGCCTCTGGAGACGCCAGCCTGCGCACACCTGGGGCCCACCCTCCCGCCTCCAGAGCGGGGAGAAATAACTGTCTGTGTTGGAGGGCCTTTGGACACCAGCCCAGCCTGTCTGTTCTCCCAGCACCCCCTTTGTCCCCGCCCTGGTGGGACAGGCCTGGACCTGTCCTCCCTGGATTTTCCCTAAGTTTTTTCCGGGCGGCTCGCGGCGGAATCCCCCGCAGCAGGGTGGGGCCGGCTTCTTCTGGGAAGTCTCAGTGACCCTCCCCACAAAGCTCTTCAGCCTGAGCCTGGGAGGAGCGGGCCTGCCCCACGAACGGCTCCCAGGTGGACCCCTCCCTGCCCAGGGAGCCGCCTCCTCAGCCCTGGAGCCTGCCCTTCCAGCTCCTGCACCCTCTGTGCTGGCGCGTGGCTCACAGGGCGCCCAGTGCTGTCACCGTGCCCCCCACCCTGCCAGCCGGGCCCACGGTTCTGCTCTCCTGGCTCTCAGGCAGGGCCCCTGGGGTGAGCCTGGCGGGCAGGCCTGGTGCTGGCACCTCTGTCCTGGAGGGAGCAGTGGGCTGCGGTCCCCCGCTGGCCCGGGGCTGACCGCAGGCGGAGCTGGCAGGGAGAGCTGTCCCCAGCGGCGTCCACTGCTCCAGAGCCCGCCTCCTGGGCCTTGAACCTCAGCCTGAGCCCTGGGCTTGCTGGACTCAAAGGTTGGAGAGATTGCGCTGGGAAGGAAGGGCTGGAATGTTTCTGAAAGTGAAAGTATGGGGGGGAGGGGGGCTGGGGGGAGGGTAGGGGGCAAGGCAGTGGCGGGTGGCTGGCCTCAGCTGGGAAGTCCCAGCTGTTGGTCACTGGCTCTGGCTGCCTGGCTGCCAGAGGCCTCACTGCAGCCGGCTCTGAGGGCCCGCTCGGAGGCCTCTCCTGGTGGTTTGTCCTGTCGGGGCCCAGTGCCTCCGTCCTCAGCAGGTATGTCCCCTGCAGGTGGAGCAGGAGGGTCACAGGGATGCCGTGGCCGGTGGGCGGGGACTCAGGGACTGAGTACCATTCCGGGCCTCCCAGTGGCCTTCCAGGCCTCCGCTCTGCCCGGAGCCCAACCCGGCGCGCCAGCTAAGTCACAGTGGACACACACAGGCAGACAGGCAGGGACATAAAGACACGCATGCAGGCGCAGACAGACACACGGACTCGGGGAGAGCACTCGCAGACGGCCGGAGGCACATACGTTCTAGATCAGAGGCGCACACGAGGAGACGCATGTAGGCCCACACAGAAGTGTGGGCACACCCACGGGCTTACGCTCCTGCCTGAGATTGCTTATCTGTTTTCCTTGGGCACCTGCCCAGTGGGTTGGGCCCAGCCCCTGTCCTGAGGGGGTCCTGGTTAGAGGGCAGGTGCCCCAGACCCTGTCATTGTCCCTTAGTCACGGGAGAAGGTATGCCAGGGCCAGACCAGCTCAGAGCGGGAGGTGCTGACCACGCTCTGCGGTTCAGCTGCTCCAGGAAGGCTTCTTGGAGGAGGAGTCACTTGTGCTGAGCCTTGAAGGAGCTGGCAGCTGGGGAAAGTGGGGGTGAGGTCACTATTGGCAGAGGGCGCAGCCTGTGCAAAGGTGGGGGAGAGGTGAGTGCTTCTGAGCTCAGAGGTGGTGAGTGGGGAGGAAGCCAGAGGGGCTTGAGCGCCAGCCAAGGAGAGTCTGCTTCTCTGAGCGATAGCAGCCCCGAGGGTCTCATGTGTTTGTGGCTATCGAGGGGAGCCCACAGGTTTTTCTGGGGTACAGGAAAGCTATTTTCTAAGCAGACGATCATATCTCCTATGAATAATGATGGTTTTATCAGGTCTTTCCAATATTTCTACCTCTTCTTTTTCTTGCCTTATAGCAGTGGTTCTCAACCTGTGGGTCGCGACCCCTTTGGCGGTCAAACGACCCTTTCACAGGGGTCGCCTAAGACCATCCTGCATATCAGATATTTACATTACGATTCACAACAGTAGCAACATGACAGTTATGAAGTAGCAACGAAAATAATTTT